CAGGGAGGTGAGTCCAGGCAGAGGCGGGGGAAGGCAAGGCCCTGAGGTGGAGTGTAGAGAGTTAGGGGGAGCGTGTGCAAGGTGAGGTCAGAGGCCAGACTATGCACGACCACGGGCTCCCTCTTCTGCATCCAGTGCGTGGGAGGTGCCACGCGCACCAGTGGGCTGGCAGGAGCCTAACTGTCCATCCTGCCGGTACGTGTCAATGGGATGCTGGGCCATTTTCTAAAACCTTCGGCTTTAACCCTGTGGCCAGACTCCTTTACCAACATGTCCACCAGGTTCCTCTCTCCTCCCTGACTCTCGGCCTCCGCTTCTCCATCAATCAACCATGGGGGTGCTGGAGGAAGTGATCCCAAGGTTGCCTTATAGGACCAAATCGCATCATCTGGTTGCCGGCCATCAATATGGGGTTTCCTGGGTCGCTTCCAACGTACGCCGCTTGTCCTGGCTTCCGGATTCATAGCACCCTCTTTCACTCTCAATGGCGTTCCAGTTTAGACATTAAATTATAAGGTCACTCTGTTCATAGGAGAAGGGAGGTGCATAGGACATTGCTGTCAGTAATGGGTTAGGCCCGTGGTCGGCAAACTGCGGCTCGTGAGCCACATGGGGCTTTTTGGCCCCCTGAGTGTGGCTCTTCACAAAATACCACGTGTGGGTGCACGTACAGTGCAATTGAAACTTCGTGGCCCATGCGCAGAAGTCGGTTTTCAGCCTGAGCGAGTCTATTTTGAAGAAGTACTGTTGATATTTGGCTCTGTTGACTAATGAGTTTGCCTAACCGTTAGGCTCTTTGCCTTGGTTTTCATTAGGCATTTTCTCTCTCTGAGCAAGGATGGTTTTGGTTTCTCAAAATGCCCAGACCAGCTTTGACTGGCACCAAACACGCGCGGCCCAGTTTGCTCATTCTGCTCAGAAGGACGGGACACTCAGCAAACACTGCTGAAGGCCGGTGACAGCAGAAGGACCAGCAGTGGCCCCGTCTGAGCCTCGGATGGTGTTTGGCTGTGAGGGAGGGATGACAACCAGTGATGCTGGGAAAATGACAGTTGAGTCCCTATGCAGACACTTCATTTCCTAGTTCAGTTCTTTTTGTTTTAATATATATTTTATTGATTTCAGAGAGGAAGAGAGAGGTAGAGGAACATCAATGATGAGAGAGAATCATTGATCAGCTGCCTTCTGCATGCCCCACACTGGGGATCGAGCCTGCAACCCAGGCCTGTGCCCTGACTGGGAATCAAACTGTGACCTGATTCATAGGTTGATGCTCAACCACTGAGCCACACCAGCTGGGCCTAGTTCAGTTCTTAACCTCAGCATACTGAGGAGTGAGGCAGGGGCTACTTTAGGAACATGACAAAGGTTGGATCCTGAGACGGAACGCACAGTACTGCCAATTCTCATGGTTGTGGACCCCAAAGGGAGGGCTATGGATGACAGACAGCTCTGAGCCCCTCCCCCAATAGCTTACATGTGTCTCCCAAGATATGAGTTGTAGATGTATATTGGCCCCCAGATGGGCATGTGGGCTTCCCACGGGGTGTTAGGCAGATGGGAGAGGACAGGGCTTCTGTGACTAGTTGATCTGAGGTCACCCAGGGAGGAGCAGTGATGGACGTTGGGGGGGAAGGAAGGTAGACTAGAAACCTTTTTGGTTTAAGTCAAGTAGATTCGAGAGGCTAATTGATTTCAGACCTTCTGCTGAGAGCTGGTCCTTTTGTATGTGGAATAATATAAGGAGACACAGCTGGGAAAAGCCCCTTTTTCATGTTAAGAAAACATTTCTCAAAAAAATTCTTTAAAATTCTAGGAAGCACCCTAGGAGTTTCTAAAGTGAGTTTCTGGAAAACCTCCATGGCTGAACCACAGTGGGGACGAGGAGGCAAAGATGAGAAGGGGCCCGAGGAATGGTCTTCGCTTTCCTTGTCTTTGTTGGGCGTTTTGTGTTGCCTTGTCTTTAAGATTGTGGTGAGTGGGAATAATCCCACGGAGAGGAAGATGAGTAACACTTGGTCAGTTTGTTTACCACACAAACACGCTCCCACACGCTCATTTGCAGAATGCCGGCTCTAGGTGAGCGGCCAGGATGCATAGATGACTAATGTCACCACTGAGCACCTCCTCCATGAGGAAGCTCACAGGGAAGTGCGAGAGGGACCTGGAAGCAGATACATTATGGTGCCTTCTGATGAGGGCTGGACCGAGGTGTGAGCGTCTCATACACTCACACTCACTCTCACACACACACACACAACACACACACGTACAGAGGTGTGAGCATCTCACACACATATACACACACTCAACTACACACACACACACACACACACACACACACACACCCCCCTCTCCAAATAGAGCTGCTCTTGTTTCCTCAGGTTTGTTCCCAGGATACTCCCCTGCCCCACCTTTTTCTGTATTTGCATATACACTGACTTTTTATTGAGGTAAAATTCACACAATATAAAATTAACCATTTTAAAGTGAACAATTCCATGGCATTTTGTACAATCACGATGTTGAGCTATACAACCTATGTCTGCTTCCAGAACATTTTCATCGCCCCCAAATAAAGCCGGGTGCTCATAAGCAGTTACTCCCCTGTCCTCCTCCCCCAGCCCTGGCACACATGGATCTGTTTCTGTATTAATGGAGGTAACTTCCCTGGCTGTGACATAAATGGAATCAGATAGCATGTGGCCTTCTGTGTCTGGCTTATTTCGCTTAGCATAACGTTTCTGAGGCTTATCCACATGGATGCCTATCGAGGCTTTTTAGGTTCCTTTTCATGGTTGATGAATATTCCACGGTGTGGATATACCACAATGTGCTTGTTTGTTTTTTTTTAATGGACATTTGGGTTGTCCCCACCTTCTGGCTATTGTGCATTGTGCTTCTGTAAATGTTTGTGTACACATTTTTGTCTGAGTATGTTTTCACCTCTTTGGTGTAGATACTGGGGAGCGGGATTTCTGGGTTACATGTTTGTTCTACATTTAATTTTTTCAGGAACCACCAAAACGTTTTCCACAGTAGCTGCGCCATGCCACTCCCCTTGTGCAGACCCACAAAGCTCTATCATTTCGATGCCCCTCCATAAACTAACTGAAGAACTTCAAGCCTGATTTACAAACACGCCCACAAGTCTAAGCGCCTCTGTTGGCCCAGTGGGTCAGAACCTATGCTAATGAGGCTGGGGTCGGGGTCCATCCCCAGCCAATCAGTTACCGAGCAGAGTGGACAGAGTGAAAATTGTGCTGCCACATGCTCCACCATCGAATACCCTCCTGGCCTTTTTAGTGGTCACAAGGGGTGGAGCAAGAGTATATGTTTATGGTCTCCTATAGAAGGAAAACAACAGGCCAGCATCCAGTTCTCCCGAAGGCACAATGGGAATCAGATGATCACCAACTTCTGGTCCTGGTTTCACCTGGTTTCTGTGGGCACCTGGGGGTAAATTGCTTTAACCTGCCCCCGCCTCCAGTTTCCCCATCTCCGTAATGGGAATAAGAATCCTGACTCCAAGGAGACGATGATGCCTACTGAGCACGTTGCACACAGTAGGCTTCCAATATTGCTGTTGCATCTCCGGGGTGGGCAAGCTCAGTGTGTGCCCGAGGGCTTCCGCAGTGGGCTCTGAGCTGCTCTCCAGGGCTGACCGGCTGGATGGCGGTGCAGGGGTTACTGGCTGCTTTAAATTGTCCTATTTGCATGGAATGAAGCTTGCTATGGTAACAAGGTCTGGTGGCTGGAATCCAGGGCCCCAGTGAAAAATGCAGAGGCTGTGCTCTGGGAGAAAGAGGCGCTGGATGGGCTGATCAACTTGAAGGTTACCTCAGGTCTCCGTGAAGGGAGTGGGTCAGGGAGGCAGCTGGGCTCCAACCTCCTGCTCCAGGTAGGAGGACAGAGGGGAACCCCACTGACGCCTTTCAGCGTTTTCTCCTGGCCTCACCCCCCTCGCCCCCACCCCCGCTCAGAAGCTTGGGACCTGGCTAAGGCCACCCCTCCGCCTGGGGCGCACCCCGGGCTTCAGGTAGGAGGGGAGGACGGGGTGCGGGTGGCCAGTCTAGGGATGGATGGAGTGCTCCTTTGGGGGAGGAGGACAGCGCGGGGTGGGGCAGTGAAGGGGGCGTGGGGAGGGGGTGGAAAGTGAGGCA